TCGCTGCCTCAGCCTCAACACTACTCCACCGCCCACCACTATCCTCCGCCCAACGTCCACAGATCTAGATCTAACACAGATCTAGAAGGAGGAGGAGGAGGAGGAAGAGAAGAAGAAGGGGGAGCGGGAAGAGAAAGAAGAAGATAAGGCCGAGAAAGGAAAGGGGGAAAACAAGAAAAAGAAGGGGGAAGAGAGAGAGGGGGGAGACTCGGAGAGAGAGTGGGAGTGATGAAGATAAGGCCTGCCGTGGGGAAGGTGAAATGGGGAGGAGAAATGTTGAAGGAGAAGAAGGGTAATTTTGGAAGAATAGGTATAAAAACGTAGAGTAGGAAGATTTTTTTCGGACGAAAAAAAACGTAGAGTAGGAAGTTTATTCTTGGACGGGGGAGTATTTACTTTTTTTTATTATTAAAATAATACTCCCTTCGTCTTATAATGATCTTTCCGGTTCGCAAAACGAAGAAAAATCTCAAGTTTTTTCAATTTATTTTATTTAAATATTGATATAGAAATAAAAAATAAAACATACATATTTAAAAACTACACCAAAAGTTCAACAAAACAAGTGGTGACAAGAATATTTTATTTTATCATATAGGGCATGAAAAAACACAAATAAATATAAATTCCCGTGAAGTTGGAATAGTGATCTGGGAAGATCATTATAGGACGGAGGGAGTACTTGAATAATGTTTAGTGGTAAAAACAATGTCCAGATTGTCTGCATTTAGTCTGAATAATATTCAATGCATATTTAATATCCATTCATGCAAAAATTATGTTTCAAAAATATGTGTAGGTATCACATTCCGAGAGCGTTTTTGAAGCCAAAGAACAACTTGATGGTGGTGCTGGAGGAGACGGGCGGAGACCCGGAGAGCATAGAGGTGGTGACCGTGAACAGGGACACCATATGCAGCTACGTGTCTGACTACTTCCCGCCGCACGTCAAGTCGTGGGAGAGGAAGGGGGACGAGTTCCGGCAGATCTCCGACGACGAGTTGAGGCCCGGAGCCCGGCTCACCTGCCCGGACGGCAAGATCATCAAGAAGATCGAGTTCGCCAGCTACGGGGAACCCCTCGGCGCGTGCGGCAACTTCGCCGCCGGGAACTGCTCCGCCCCCAACAGCGTCAAGGTGGTGGAGAAGGCGTGCTTGGGGAAGAACCACTGCAGAGTTCCGGTGGAGAAGAGCCTGTTCGAGGAGGAGTCCACGTGTTCGCTCAGTTTCAAGACTTTGGCCGTCCAGGCGAGATGCAGTCGGCAGGGAAAGGATGACTAGGATAACACATGCCACGTCACGTCTTAATTCATTATTTTTCCATGTACGGATTTTTATTTTTTATTTTTTTAAAAAATATATCTCATGTAGGTAGGTGTTTGAAATAAAAAAAATACAGAATATACTCCAAATTTCGATCATAGTTAGGGAGAGAGGGTATAGTAGCTGATTTTTTAAAAGTTCTTTTGGATACTAATTAATTTATGTATTGAACCGTGGCAATAATATATTGGAATTATGTTTTGAACCCTGGCAAAGAAGCATATACCGTGGCAAAACTTTTTTTTAATTCGTTCTAAAAAAAATTTCTCATTTTTATTAAAAAAAATTGTTTTTACTCTTACTAATTTTTAACTTATAGATTCCATTACATTTTTTTATTATTAATCTATCTACCACATCTTAATTTTATGAAACAATCCTAGGATTTCTCGCAAACAAACATATTATCATTATTATGTGACATGTGTTGATCATCTCGTGTGTCCTACTATACTCTCTATGTCCCAAAATGTTTTATACTCCATACAAAACGAAGTAAAATTTTAAATTTTTTAAATTCATTTTATTTAAAGATAATATAAGTTTAAAATAAATTTACATACTCCCTCCGTCTCGTGAAACATGGAAGTTTTGCATTTTAGGAGGAATTTAAAGGGAGTATATTTTGGTATTGAATTTCCAAAAATGCTTCGTGAAACATGAGAAGTGTTTTATGGAACGGATAAAAAAAGAAAGGAGAAAGGTTTTATGGGACGGAGGGAATATTTAATAACGACATCAAAAAATTACAAAACAATAATAATAATATTTTATTCTATTGATCAAATAATCAAACAAAACACACAAATAAACAAAATCAAATTATGTGAGTCTTAAAAGTTAGTATTCCGTCCATTTCATATATTCTTTCTTATTTTAACTTTTTTAAGTTAAACAGTAGTACTATTTGCTTACAAATTATAAATATAATAAAGCTAATTATGATGTAAAAATTAATATAATTTGATTGATATTATGATATAATTTTGATGAATCAAATTTATTTAATCTTTTTTTATTTAAATTATATTTAATCTGTGGTCAAAAGATGTTACTTTTTGAATATAAAAATCAAAATGAGTTTATGGGACGGAAGAAGTAAGAATAAGAATAATGCATATTATACCTATGGGGACAAGCAAAAACAATTAAATTAAAACAGCCATAAAGCAAAGTGCAAGGGTAAGTTGCTATTGCCCCTTTTGTACAGTAAAGTTACTTCTTCTTCATTGGTATTCCAAATGATAGACATTCTCAAACTGCAGCAAACATTCCGTTTTATGATTTCAACTGCAGCAGACAGACAACACATTCTCTCTTATTGGTTCTTAGTTGACAAAACAAATTTGTAAAGAAAACAACATTAACATCCTCATACACTTATACTCCTAAGATCTCAAAATATAAAAGAATATATATATTATACGATTCTACGTATGTACAGAGCCCTCTCGCAAACAACTTTTCTGCCCTCCAACCATTGCATTTTCACTCCCTCTCTGCTGTCCACCAAACTGAAATTCCGGTATTACAGAAAAAAGCATAAGCTGAGAAACAAATAAAACGACACAGATTCAAGAGAAAACGGGGTTTATTTACTAACATTTATTGAGCAGGCGATTCACAAGGGCTCGGTTGTCTAAAAAAAATCCCAGGCCAGATTTGTGCACATGTCCAACCCCTATGACAAATCAAACGATCCTTGACCTTCATTGATTGCATACAGCAATTTCTTGTACATGATTTCCTGCTCAATTATTACCAAGTACTTTTTAAATTACACAAGAACTTGATTAATTGTATGAAACAAAAATTAAAGAAACGTGCCTAATATTACCTTGGTGGAATATGCAGGTAGTTTCAAGTAATTGGCACAAGTCATGACACTAGGCAGGTCGTCATCTGCAGATTCAGAGGCCCCGTTACCACCAAGTGTCGCATTTCCAGATGACGAATGCTGTTTAACAGAAATAACAAGTCAATAATACCGAGCAAATTGAAAGGAGGAAATATATGTATGTAGGAGGAAACAATATGCATTTTCCCTATCTAGTAGTCCTACCCGGTCAAGTTTTTGAATAATAAAAAGAAAAGTTTATCCCTTTGTATGTAAAATTGTAAATTGAATGCAGTTTGAAGGCAGTAGCTGAAGTGTGGTGAGGTCCATGAGGGTTAAACTTGGCATATCAAACCAAAAAATGTACTCCGTACTATTTAGGCTTTAAAGAAAACTGTTTTACTCTGATTTAGGGATAAGGATCAAGTTTTAGTATTATTTGTAGCAATTTTCTAATTTGAAAAGTGTAGGCGCCAAAATTAAATAAATAAAAAATGCCAGGTGCGTACCTTTCTAACGATTGTTAACTTAGGATTCAGCACTGCAAGACCACCAGGGGGGAGCCTAGGAGCGCCAGTAACAAATTGTAGAAAGGCCCTTTGTTGTTCAGGAGTAAAGTCTCCCATGATCTCCAACAGCTGCACACAAAGTTAAAGGTGGAAAAATTAAGAGACCATTAACATTGAACCATGACATTTGAGCAATAAAGAGGGGGTGTGTGTGTGTGTGGGCGCGCGCGTTTACATTTATGATGGCAGGACTTCTGGCATTGTAACCATGATCAAACTTGATGTGATCCACCAAAGTTTCAGCCTGCATATGAACAAGTAACATTGTGGAAGGCATTCACAAGCAATTCATGTAATTATTAAATAGGATTATTATTTACCTCCCACAGCTCTCTACGGCCACAAAGCAAGTAATCCAACTCGGTTGGGGAAAAAATTTGTAGGGTTGAAATGTCAAAAACCTGGTAATCAAGGAAATGCAAAAAGAATAAATTTGAATTCTACAATTTTAACGGCTCAGTGTTAATGACAGGGAAACATAAGAAATATGACATAAAAGCATCCCCTATAAAAGAGAGAAAATGATATCGGGGACTAGAATTAGTAGAATACTCATCGTGTAGCTTAAATGTTCAAAAATATATTTATCACGAATACAATGATAAAAGTATCATTTGTGAACATCCAAAAAAAATATGGAAGAGACTTCTAGGTTGCAAAAGCCACATATGGAGTCCAACCATATTGACCAACCGATAAGGAATGTCATGAGCATGTGTTAACATCAACTTAAATACTTTATATGTCCTAGAATTAAAGTCTATTTTAACTTTTTGGGTCAAACTATGACACTCTGACCACAAAGTGTGAAAAATGTACATTTAGTTCAAATGCGAATTTAATATAATTAGCTTCATTTTAAGATAGAGTTTTGAGATATCAAATTTTTATGACATTTATTTATTTATAACTATATTTAGTTTGTGGTCAAAGAATGTCACAGTTTGACCATAAAAAGTCAAAATAAACTTTGATCCTGGGATGGAGGGGGATCAATTCAACTGCACAATATAAGCTACAAATGCAAAACCACACTGCATACCTGGTTAAAACCAGATCTAAATGCTTCAATTTGTCGCATGATTCCAGTATTTATAGTGGCATCAACAACCAAAGAAACATACTCTTCCAAATTGCTAAGATCAACCTGCATTATAAATGGTGTTATCATCCCTTAGGGTGATCGATGGTCCTCCATAAGACCAACAATGCAAACATAATGTAGCAAGAGAGAATACACATTACAATTATACAAATACATTCAAGGAGAAGAGCATACATTCACTCCCCCAGGTTTCAGAACATATTCGGGGTAACCTGGAACTGTAAAATCTAAGCAAAGATCTTCAACTGAACTCCCGTGAAAGTATAAATCAGTAATTTTATCTTGGGTATTGTGCCCCATTGATTCCAAATGCTGTTTCCGTAAAACAAGAGCTTGCAACTCTTGCAACGTCTTTCCAAGTTCGGCATCAAAAGAAAAAATATCATACAGATCAAGCTTCTGCAGTAAAATATAGCAACATCAAGATAAGCATAGTTATAGATTGTGACTACAAAATCTAAAAAAGCCAACACGTAAGTGAAACAAAATACAGAATGAGGCACAGCTTACTTGTCCAAGCACGAGCTTATAGAAGGCAGTTGATAATGGAAGGTCTAAAAGCCGTCCATCCTGAAGAGCCTTAGCCATCACACGACCTAGAAGCCGGAAATATTCAATTACCTTGAAAACTGGCTGGCCCTCAGAAGCCTCAGCATTTGGTGGCCAGGGGCATGGGAATAACCCAAGAGGGGCTATGATTTGATCCCGTTCACTACCTACTAAAGAATCATCATTTCTTCCATCTACATCTTCATGTATATGGGGCAACAGACTTGCCCTCCACATCCCTAAACCAGCTTTCTGTAAATCATGACTCAAGAGTGTGTAGAACTCTAGAGTAGGACCCAATCCAGTACCAACTTCACCAAAATATTCAACTTCAAGAACAGCTTTTTGGCTAGAGTACATGTCCATTACTTTTGCAGCAGAATCCAGTATGCGATTGCGTGACACACGGACTTTCTGGCGCTGTAATCTTCCAAACCTTGTGTCTCTTTCATTCGTCAACCAATCAGCACCTTGTTGCTGAAGCCGGTACAGTGCTCGAGACAAGCCAAAAGCAGTTGAATAGAAGTACTGGCGCCTTATGTCAAAGGGGAACAGAAAAGGACAAGACTTGGTCAACTGATAACACCACGATGGAAGAGAGCCACTGCATAGTGCAAGTGCATCCTGAATCTGTCTACCCAACTTCGGAGTGAGCTTATTGTTGACAAATTCCTCCAGTGGAATTCTGACAAAATTTGCACCTAGTTCATCTAGACTGGAAATTTTTCCTTCAGAGAAATCATCAATCATTGACTGAACACGTAACCGTGGTGCAAGTTGATTCAAACTCTCAACTATACGTAGCAGTGCTAAAATATTATATGTAGGGTTGTTTTTTTCCAGATCACAGGGTAGCTCTCCCTGCAAGATACTATCTAATAATGACACTTGAAAAGAGGAAACATCACCCGATGTTGAACTGGCTTTTCTAGACTTGCTCGAAGTTGAAGCCCCGGCACTAGTACCACCCTCGGCTTGGCTATCTGCCTTTTGGTAAGTGATAGTGTATATATCAGACCAGAGTCGGCTTCCGTCACTTGATATAAAATCATTGCCACCATATCTTTCTTCATCATCCTCATCCAGAACAAGCTGACGTTGAATTGCCTGGTAGATCGTCAAGTGCCGATTTAGTTGTTTACCACTCGCAGTAAATATTAATTTTCCTGGATCATTGGAAGTAATTAAGGGGCGTCCTTGACTATCCTTTCCTCCAACACCTCTACCGCTACTAGACCCGAGGCCTGCCATTGCTGCAGCAGCAAATGACATTGCACCTCTGGAGCTATAAGAGCTCCCACCCCTAATCTCAAGAGAATCAGATCTCCGAATGGAACCATCTTTGCTGCCAGAACCACCAGAAGCATTTGCCTGGCTATCACTTGGTTTGAGGACAACTGGACTCTCCTCTGAAGAGTCCCCCAATTTAACATCATGCACCTTATATGGCAAGCAAACAGGAAGTCGATCATCCCTAAGAACCTGAAAATTTAACATAATAATCAGCAGCATGTCTGAAAGTTACATATAAAGGTTACATGTGAGTAGGGTGTCGTACAAAACCCTATCGTATTATACTTATAAAAAATGATGAGGTAAATCATGTGAAATTAGAATGTTTAAAGTTCCATAACATATTGCCCAATATTACATTTTATATCCCTATCTTTCCTGAAACAAAAATACTGTAAGGGGTTGTACTGCATTGCATTAAAAGCTTTCAAAATGTGTTTCTTTGTCTATGTATGCAGTCACCCCCAAGAATAATGTGTTGGAACTCAAAAAATAACAAAGGGAAAATATGTACATCATCAAGTTCTTCATCTTCATCTTCGGATACATCATCTTCTTCAATCACCAAATCATCAACAAAGTCAACAGGAGAACCCAGCTCATCTTCCTACGTAACCCAAAAAGAAAAGATCATACTAAGACTAAAAACAAAATGATGAATGCTGAATGAAGTTCGAAGTTTATGTCAGATTCCCCCCCCCCAAAAAAAACACACATGCACCACACGGTGAAAGGATACCACTTAGCAAGTAAAAAAACAATAGCATAGATAGTGCACTTTGGGCATGACAGAATTGAAATCAAAATCCACAAGAGACCATCGTACTATAACAGCAATACATCAAATGAATGAAATATCAGATCAGATGGAGAGACAAACCTCAGAATTGGAATCCCCAGTTGCAGGATGGGCTTGTGCGTCCTTTTCCAGTGAAGACCGTCTACGAGCAGCATTTCTTGTTTGTGGACCTCTTGGCTCTTCTTGGGCTGACTTAAGAACAGCTTTGCCCTTTCCTTTTGAAGAACTTGTGTTTTTTTCTGGTGACGACTCTTTAAGGACATCATTCATATTAGCAACAGACCTTGATCTGGTAGAATGTCGAGCAACAGGAGTGGTAGAAGATGATGATAAAAGGCCACTTCCAGGTATGGAACATGCCTCTGAATTTCCGGATGATGCAGATGCCTTCTGACCAGACTCCAATTTTTGGATTCGAGGCCAAAGGAAGTCTTCAACAGCTGCTAAACTTGCTAGTGGATCAATTAAAACAATATTTGAAGAATAATCACGAAGAGTTTTTTCACCATGTGCCCTGCAGAGGCGCAACTTGAAAGGTTGAGCTAAAGCACCAATGCCAGAAGATAGCCGTGCACTTCCGCTCAATGTTCTATTAGAAGTTTGGCTCAAGACAACAGGGAAGCGCTCCAAGGAAGATAGAGCATTTTGAAGCTTTTGAACCAGAATAACCATGGGAACAGAACTTCCTTCAACACCAGGAGGTAGGGCAACATCAATGAAAGACCTGTACCTTCTGATTGCTTGTTGTCGAAGCCTAGAAAGATTAGCGTTTGAAATTCTTTCCTTGCAAAAATACCCACATGTAAAATAGTTCAGCAACGAAGTCACAACACCACTACCAATAAACTCAAAAGTGGAAACACCATCTCCTTTGCTCAGCTCTGCCAACATCTCAGCAATAAGGCTGGTAAGGTTATCTTCTTTACAGAGAGAAATATCACTAAGCCCATGAGCAGAAGCTTTGGATTTCCCTTTTGTTTCAGTCATCTGTCCCTCCACACTAGCAATCAACTTGTTGCAAAGATTTTTCAGGCGCAAAAGATCATCTGTTACACCAGCTTCACTCGAGTCAGAATCAGAAGGGAAGTATTTCTCTTTGAAATGTTTTGCGCAACCACTGACTGTTGTGCGGATAGTGGAATTGACATTAGGGACTTCAACTGAATTAGGAGCTGAGACAGAGTTTGGAGCACTACTTTTTGCTTCAGTGGACAGATCCACATTTAAATTACCACCCCGGCGTCGGTAGCGCCTAGAACGTGATGATCCTGCTATACAATCATTGTCCTTCTCAGATGATGGTGGTTGTGAAGGATGTGTAACACGAGCCTCGTCCATTATAAGCGCATTTACAGCATGAATAACTCCTTCTCTCACAAATATCTTGGAAAATAAACCGGGGACCTTTTCCATTAAAATTTCAGCAATTTGAAGGGCAGGAATCAGTACCTGAGGATCTTTCCAGGCTAAAACTCCAGCCAAAAAACTGCATGAAAAAAGTAGAACTTTAGTCCATGTAAGCTTTAAGAAATAAATTTTTGCTTTCTGCTGATTTTCTAAAGCACATGTTGCCAAGAAGTCATGAACCCGAAAACTATATTTAACTTGTTTTTAAAAGCAATTTCAAAGTGCTTAGTTGCTTACAAGAATAAGCTAGAAAGGATTTTACGACAATGATTATGGGTATTGCAAACTCATACCTAGATATGTTAGTGGCACTATTCAAGGACTGGATCATGTCAGCAGTGCTGAAGTACATGAGTTTTCCAATGACAGAGAGACACTTGTGGCGTACAGGGCCATTCACACTGGATCCATATATCTGATTGACAAAGAACACAAAATCAAATAGTGTAAACAATTAGTTACATTTTTTCCTATTGTATAAAGGAAAACAGATACAAATGTTACACTTAGTTAGCGTTTCTCTGAACACATGCCTGGATTAAAACTGGAAGAAGATCTATTCCAAATTGACATAAAAGCTCGGGTTGCTCGTTTAGAAATTTTTCACGGGTTGATATCTCTTGTGAAACCTCGAGCGCACTATCTTTTACATCCTCCTGCTTGCTACAACTACCAGCAGATAACTTCTTTGTTGAAGCGCCTTTAATTAAAAGATTACTGCTGACGGGAAGAGATATTGTTCCATGAGGTAATGGTGGGAGTAACTCATTAGCCAGGTTAACAATCTCAAAAACCTGTGGACAAGAGAAGGCAAGAAGCAGCAGGAATGTCGAGCATTAGCTGTCAGAGGAATACAGTCATTGAATACTTGATTAATGGTATTCTCCTTGATGCGAGGGGGGCTGAATATAGAGGACTAAAATGCCCTTTTGATTATCACATTCAAAACCATCCTACAAGGAGCCCTCTTTAACAATTTGGTAAAGTACCCTCAACACATGTTCTGGGTCAATGACTAATTGGTAACACAAAGAAGGCATTTATCTATAATATAAATTGGAGAGATAATTTTGGCAAGAACATTGATGTGTTGCTTTCAAATAGAATGTTTTCCCTTTGATGGAAAAAATATGGAGTAGTTCCCTACTTGCTTGGTTTAAATTTCATACTTCTTTTGAAACATTCATCTTTAATTCCAAAAGTACAACAACAAAAACAACAAGAACAAACCCAGTATAACCCCACACTCTGTATGGTCTGTGACGGTGTATTTTTCTATGCTAAACTGGCCTTCACATTCTCCAGAAGGAATTTAAAACACCTGGCATTAGGAATTTATGCTTTCTAGTTTCTACTTTTGCGACCTAAATTTAATTCCATTCATCTTCCCAATTTTTAATTACTTACATAATGCACATTTTGGTATCAGAAGACAATTCATCGCATGAACCATCTTAAAATCAAAATGTAGAAGTGTGCCCAAAATTGTGTAACGAAACATTCAATACCTGGTCAGCTGGTCTACTCAAAGCAGGTGATACTGATAGTGTACTAACAAGGCTAGATCCTGAAAGAATTTCTTTAAGAATACTACTGATACCAAGGTGCAGCATAGTTTTTGTCCCTATAACAGAACCACTAGCACATGTTGAGAGAAGACGAACCAATCCCTGCAAAACATGTACTGTCAATATCCAGCATAAAACCACGCTGGTTACTTGAGCCAAGAGATGTATACTTACAGTATATGTTGAGGTGCTGAGTGAAGTCTGACCAGAACTAGAGCTGCTAGAGGAAACCAAAGATGCTGCTTCCCTAACAAGTCCATGATTACATAGCTCATCCAACTTATCTGGAGAGGTTGCAAATGCCTCGGCAATCCGAGTCAGGCAGATGCAAGCATGTTCTAGAACCTATATACAAGAAAAGAGAGGATAATAGATTGAGAATCCATGAAAGATGCAACAGTTTGTGAAAGAACTAATCTGCCGTTTGGATTTAGTCCATAGTCCATTATTTACCCAAAACTAAATCAATGTGAAATATTGACTCTTTTAGCTCCAGGATTGTTGCATTCTCGTTGCAGATAATAATAATAATAATAATAATAATAATAATAATAAAATTAATAAAAATAAAAATAATCATTATGATACTTGTAGTAGTAGTAGTAGTAGACTAGTAGTAGTAGTAGTAGTAGTAATAATAATAATAATAATAATAATAATATTTCCATCATCTCTGATGGAGTCAAAATTTCACCATTTTTGGCTTTGGGGTGTGATGGAATAAATCAAAATGGATCTCTAAACTATCTGCGCTTCTTTAATTAATGAAGTAGCAGTTAGTCAAACACTGCAACTTTCGATGTTGAGCCGGGGGTCTCTTTGGAAACAGTCTCTCTACTTTCGAGTAGGGGCAAGGTCTGTGTACACACACCCTCCCCAGACCCTACTCTTGTGGGATTTAACTGGGTTGTTGTTGTTGTTGTTGTAATAATAATAATAATAATAATAATAATAATAATAATAATAATAATAATAATAATAATCCATTCACCTTTGCATCGTGATATTGAAGGAGGTTAGTCAACAATGGTACAGCTTCCATCACAAAGTCAGATGCATCTGATGGGAGTTTTTTACACATATTTGCAGCAGTAAACAGGGCTACTCTCTGGTAGTGAGCCAAAAGTAATAGATTAGTTGGTATTATGGATGAAAATGAGGGCAGTCAAATCATACTTTAAAAGAGCCATTATATATGAAGTAGTTTCAGCTAATACTACCTGAACTCCGGTGGAAAAGAAGTCAAGGTATGAAAGTACAGCCATAAGTGCACCAGCCCTAAGGCAAGCAGTGGGGTGTTCCTGAGATATCTTCTTTAGAGCTTGTAATGACTGTCATTTTTTGTTTAAGAAGTAGACAGGGTGTCAATAATTTAAATGATTAATATTTGGGGGTGAAACAGTTGAAAATAAATTTATACTGATGGCTAAAGTGGCACTGGTAAATTAAGTTGTAACAACCATAAGAATGCCTATTTAACAAACTTATGCGGACTAGCAAACCTGTTCAGCCAAATCCATGTATTCGATAGTGAGAAGGCGAGCAACAAAGTAAGAAACTGCACCATAATGCACAACAGCAGCACATGAGGATGGCAAAACATCCACTAGATGGGTCAATGCACGGGCTGCTAGTAGCATGATATCTGGGTTGCTCTCGTGATTAAGCAACCCAACCAGCACAGGAACAAAAGAATCCACAGAAAAGGTGCTGAGCGAATCCTCCGTTCCAATTGAAAGCATATCACAGAGTTGTGTCAAAGCCTCAACTTGCTTTCCTTCCTCGCCATCTGCTCTCAGCCCTGACAAGATCTTCTTTAGGCGACTGCTTTGATGTGATGATGAGGTTGATCCCATTGCTGAGCTGGGGATGAGATCATCCAATCCAGCGCCCAATTTCCTAAGCAAACCCTGAAGCGCACTACTGGCAGAAGTAAAAGTAGGGTGCAACAGACCAGCCCCACCCTCACTGTCGTTGTCATCCTCATCTCCGCCACCTGAATCAATATTCAACCTGATGCCTCTGTCAGCTTCTCTTTCCCTATCCCTAGCTCTAAGGTCATGTTCTTTCTCCTTCCCCTTATCAGAATTATCAGGCCCGTGACTAGGGTTCTTAGAACGACGGCTGCGAGACGCAGAACCAGAAGATTCATTGGTGGAGTCCATTGGTGCGAAAGATGCTAATGAGTCTTGAGAGCGAGTAGCTATGCGGGAACGAGTGGAGATCGAGGCTAAATTGGAGGCTGTGTTGGATGCGGGTGTAGAAGAGACGGGAATACGGACTCGCTTGGCTGCGCGGGTTGTGACACCAGATGAAGAAGAGGGCGCTGAAGAGTTCGCCTCCGCCCGCTTCCGGCTACGAGTTTCCATACAAATTCTAAAACACCTTAGATCATCGAAACAGCTCGCCGATTATCAGGCGATCAGACACTCTCCAATGCTGAATTCGTTAACATCGTCACGCATACAATTCTTCCTAATTCCAAAATTAAAAATATTATCCCAACAAAAAACGATCTTTCCCAATTCAAGCTCAACAACGAGCAAAATCTCTCGAACGCGAGATCGCTTGGAGGTACCAACACGGGCGATTTTGACAAGGAGAGACCGAAACGGATGAATATTACTGCAAATTCAAGAATCGAAATCCTAGTGAGAAACCCTAATTCGGATTAATTTTTTCCAAGTTTTTTCTCCTTCTCCCTCCCTTTGGTTGCGGGATAGATATATTCTTCCACCGAAAGTCGAAGAATATGGCTGGTCAAAAACGAACATGGAGCAGGCTTTGGATTGTTTTTATGGGCTTAGACTTCTGTGTGATCTTTTTTGGCCCAACAAAAATAAATGGTGGGGGGCTTGAGCCCATTAAAGTTTTTTTAAATTTAAATGTGTACTTTTTGTACTACTCCCTAATATATACTCCGTAAATTAAAATATTGATCTAAACATAATTCGAAATAAATGCATTCATAACAAGAAATAACGGGGGGAAATTCAACAAAGGAAAAAACAACGAAACTAAAAAATAAAATTGGAGAAAAACACAAGGGAAAATATCTTAAACTAGTCGTTCATTTTCCATTTGACCGGATTTTCGCCAGCTTTCTCGCCGTCTTCTCTAGCACACCCGGTCAAGTGATCTGTTGAAGTCTACAACATGTGCATGTCGTTGTTGTATTATTCTGCTTGTTGGAGATTAAAAAAGTCCAAATTTCAAAAGAAATTTCAAATATTTTTCTTTAAAAAAGGTTTAAGAAATTAATGCATTCGGATATTAAAAATACTATAAAATCCTACCGATCTCGGAATTTTTGAAAGTGTCAAAGTTAGCTCGGCCCGGGGCAACCTCCTCCTCCTTCGTTCATTTGGTCATATCGGGCTCCGTTATTTTTGTCATTACCTCCTTCTTCTTGTGTTTATCTTCGATAGTGTTGCCTTGGAATTAGTGGCAGTTTGGGATTGGGAAGATGGTTCATTTTGTGTTTCAGGAACGAAATCCTTCCCAAAATCGGGTTGGGTTGGTTGGGAACTGACCCTTGTTAGAATCAATTGCGGTAGTTAGACATGAGGTTTACCGGAGAATCGAGGCTATTTGGATTATTCGAGTGGATTTGAGGTTGGTAACAATTAGAAAAAAAAATTGTAATATGGGTAGCTTAGATGGTTCAGATCCATAGTAGTGAAGAAATGATTTTTTAGGTTAATAGAAGAGAAGTAGAGAGTCGTTTGAGATTGTGTTGAATTTTTGAGAGATTTATAGATGAATATACTTAGGTTTTCTTAAATCAAACCAATGGTTCCAATTTTGACCATTGGCAACAGGTAGCCCAGTTTCCTAGCTCGGCTTCGGTCATGATACAATCCAACCCCAGTCCTCACGCCAGTGGTATCCCTGCCGCCGTGCATGGTCATGTGGTGACGGGACGCGATGGGCTTAAAACGCCGACTATAACGCTCATAACACATGGTGTTATGCCATACAGAGTAGCCCACAGTTGGTCAAGAGCGTGAAATCTTGGACCGATGACCAGGGATCGAGTCCCGCAAGCGGCATTGTGAGAGTTATCCAAAAATCGCATAAAGGGTGAGGAGGCTCCTTGTGCGCGGTGGACACGGGTCTAGCGTTAGACACACACAACACTTTCTCTCTCTCTCTTAATTTATCAATATATATAGCGTCACTCTCTCTCTCTTTTATTTCATTTATAAATAAACTTAATTAACTTTATTTGTAGGAACATGTAGGTTTGGTACCAATTCAAGGAAGTAAAACCAAGAGGATCATATCGGCCGGAGGACGCATGATAATTAATATTCATGGCGGCCGGCTAGCTAGGTAGAACATCTGAATTAATAATTGTAAGTGTGGGTGCATATATGTATATATGCATGTGGATAAGCAGATAACGTGTTAAGGCACAGCACATGTATATGTATGTATGTAAGTACAAACAACTGCATGACGATGATGACATTTTTATCAATAGCCTTTGGGGGTACTACTTGGCCCCGTTTCAATGGTTTCACATTAGCGTTAGAGATTAGCGTTGATATTTTTAAAATTAATCTACATCATTAAAATTTTATCCAAAACATCATCGCTAATCGAAAACATTGTTTCCAAACATGACCTTGGTATACACCACTTGCACACATTTGTCTATCTGTAAGATAGTAAGTGCAAGTATTCACATATTGATAAGAAGACTAGAAAGTGAATAAAAATTAAATACACCCTGTGTTCAAAAAAAATTCCCGGTTTGACCTGGCACACAAATTAAGAAAAAATTAAAAAGCATAAAGACTCTATGTTTTGTCCTTGATGTAATTGAATAAAATAGACAGTGTATACAAAAAGTAGAGGTATAATAGTAAATTCTTTAAAGACTTTTTGACAAAATAGGAAATGAGAAAAATTTTTAGACAACTCAAAAAGAAAAATGAGAAAGAAATCACACAAATATGGGTAAAACATAGTGAAAGTACTAAAATAGGAAAGAAGTACTAGTATTTCGCAATTAATAGTACTCATGTATGAATGAGATACACCAAATTGTCCGACTCTAAAAATTAATGTTTAGAGTTAGCCACATGGTATACGGATGGATGTATGGTGGTTTGGTATAGTAGTTGGTTGGTGCATGTCGTCCATCCATTATCCACATCTCCACAAGTCTCTACATTATACATATACCACCATTTCATTTCCCCCTGTTTTGGTTTACTAGCTCAGCTCATCATTTGACTTTACACGTTTTGTAAGAAATTAAAAGTGTAATTTAATATATATTGGATGAAATAAAATAAATTTATCCAAGAGTTCATTGCGAATTTAAGTTACTAGTATTTGTAAGTAAACTCAAAACGATCGATTTTAAGACACTACAAATCAAAGGTCCAACACAAAGAAAAGGCCAAAATAAAGAAATAAAATAACTTACTAAATATATATATTTTATTTTTAAATTTTACACTTACAATCAAATTCGATCAAACTCGTAAACAGAAACATAAAAAACATTTTAAGACGAAGAGAGTATATTTGTGTACAACAACGTGCGTACAATAATCTCTTTCAACTTGGTCTAAAAAAATTATCGATCAAATCAACTATTTGTGCACTAGTTAAGAATTATAAAGACTTAAAGAATCTGAAACATGAATAAAATTTTTGAAAAATACAAGGACTTTGATCATATGAAGCTCTATTTTTGGGAGATGGTGTGGGTGTGAATGTGGTTGGCTGGTGTTTAAAAAATGAATAATATATGGAGTGGTTAAGATGAGTTTATAACGAACACGATACAAAATGAATAATGGAAATAAAAATAGAGGATGACACTCACCTCACACTCATCACTACCTACCTACCCACTTTCCTTGCTGGATTATTGTCCTTACTCTATCTTCTTCTTTTTATTTTAAATTTTTCCCTTTATTTTTCTTTTCTTTTAAATATTCCCATCTGTATTCAGAGAGTTACTATGAGCATGTTTGAAAATAACGTTAAAGATTAGCGTTAGCGTCCTGGATAAAATTTTAACGGTGCATATTACTTTGAAAGCACTTACACTTAACCCTGCTCGTAGATAGTCTTTTGCTAATCGCTAACTCTATTTCGAAACAGGTCCTATATCTATTTACATTTTGATTAAATCCACTCAATTTATATAAAACTGATAATTTTACTCTTATAAAAAACAAAAGAGAAAATTTCAATGCAGGTGAGAAGATAAAATTGTATACTCCGAGGTATTTATCATAAGAAGATCGAAGTACGTGAATTTAGTTAAAATGAAAATAAATTTAGCAACACTCCCGTATTAATTAGTACCTCTATGGCTTTGTCATATGAAAAGAAGTGAATTTGCACTGAATAGTACTAAAACATAATGATTTTCCTAATCTAGAATTTAAACTTTTTTAATCCCTAAATAAGACTTATTAATGTTTTAGTGAGAGGAATAATGTCTAGTAATGATGGACATTTACTTGAATAATGACTAATTCATAATGACCAAAAGTCCTACATTGGGAAATAAAAACATATGGTCCTATATTGGGAAAGTCATTATGTTTTAGTCATATTTAAGTAAATTATTCATACTCCCTCCTCTGTCCAAGAGGGAGTATGAATAAAAATTTATCTTGTATTAAAGTAAACACTAGTTCATTTTTACACACCATCCAATACACTTCTTTAATCCATTTTATCTTGTAATTTGTATATTAAAAAATTATAGAAACTATATATTAATAATCTATATGTTAAGACAAATCAAACAAGATCACACGTGACTATATTTAGTCTTACACATTGAGAGAATTTGATGAGTCAAAGTGCTTAGATGAATAGTTCCAAAACTCAAAAGTGGACGAATATAGCGGGACGGAGGGAGTATATATAAAAAAGATATACCCAATATCTAACGCATACACTGTACTTATTTAGTCGCAACTTAAATCGTCTATTTTTAGTTAAGTGAATGTGAAAGTATATTATGAGGTGTACAAAAATTAGAGCGGAACTATTTTCAAGAATAGAAGAAGTATAAAATAAGATGTGACAAGTTATATTATTTTTTCTCAAATAGATAGCTAAAATGGGTGAACAACGAGGCTAAAATTTGATTTTTTGAATAGTAAATAAACTACTCAAATTGAGATGTGGAGAGTAACTTTTTGTATAAAATTTGTCGATACAACTTTTTTTTAAAATAAATTCTATACTTGATTCTTTATATTAAGTGTTTTTCTGCATTTCTTCTTATGTTAATAAATACATAGTACTTTATTTAAGTGAAGACTAAAGGTAAAATTCCCAGATAAATAATAGTTGACAATGGTACATTAACATCGATATTAGAAATTCGTTATGACAAGAAGAAGAGAAGATGAGGATATTACCATGTTTTGTGGAATAGAAAATGAACGAGGGGCAATCAACAGAAGGATGAGTCCAGACTCTCTCAGATTCGGCTAGACGATCACTGAGAGGAAGTAAATTAAATTTTATTTGTAGATTGGTGGCAAACGGTGGAGCTTGCGCCAGGTACTTACAGATGCCTCATGTTTAGCATAATTGCCTTCGAGCGTAATTGTCAAGAATCGAACTCAAGTCTTACCTTCTTAACACTCCTTGCCTTGCCTTGCAAATTGGATAGTGGGAATCAAAAGAAGAATCTAAAGAAGAAAAAAAAAGGAAGGAGGGAAGTACTCCAACCATACATCCAATCTGATCTACCTACCTGCTACTGACTCATACCTGTCGTCTCACCAACTCACATCTAGAAGCATTTACTTCATGATTTCTATCAGTATGTATCACCTCCATGGCCTCCATCTACCACCCACCCCGCCCCCCTCCCCGCCCCCCCCCCCCCCTATTTATAAAACCCATATATATCCCCCAACTCTCATCATCTTATACGTCCTCAAAAGGAAGTCCATCCATCTCTCTCCTTCTTGCTCACATTTAAGCCAACCACTCTCTCAAATTCAACCCCCCATTTCTCCACCACCAAATCTCCAAGCAAGATTGAGATTCATCATCAATTTCATCAGATTCTAAGGATTAATTAATTAATATATATACATACATATGGGAAGGTCTCCTTGCTGCGAGAAAGCTCACACCAACAAGGGAGCCTGGACCAAAGAAGAGGACGAGAGGCTCACCTCCTACATCAAAGCCCACGGCGAAGGCTGCTGGCGCTCCCTCCCCAAGGCCGCCGGCCTTCTCCGCTGCGGCAAGAGCTGCCGCCTCCGCTGGATCAACTACCTCCGCCCCGACCTCAAACGCGGCAACTTCTCCTCCCACGAAGATGACCTCATCATCAAACTCCACTCCATCCTCGGCAACAAGTATGTATATGCTAATTATAACCTAGCTACGTACCTTCACCCACCCAATTTTTGTTTTGATCTAATTAATTAATTAATATATAGGTGGTCACTTATAGCGGGAAGGTTGCCGGGAAGAACGGATAATGAGATAAAGAATTACTGGAACACCCACATAAGGAGGAAGCTGCTCAGCCGCGGAATCGATCCCGCCACTCACCGCCCCCTCGGCGACCCGCCAAAGGACGACGACGTCACCAGCACCATATCCTTCGATCATTTACCCCAACAACAACAAGAAGACGACGGCACCAACTTCCGCCGCGAATGCTGCTGCCCGGACTTGAACTTAGATCTCACAATCAGCCCCCCGGAGTGGACTGCCGGATCTGATCCGGAGAAGGCGGCCGCCGCCGACAGTAGCAGTGGCGCTGCCCCTGCTCTGGGGTCAGTTTTGTGTTTTCCGTGCAGTTTGGGGATAGAGAAGAGCCCACACTGCACCTGCGGCAACAACGCCCATGGAAACGGGTGTTATTCTGCCACCGTGAGCACCGCCGCTAGCAGCACTGCCGCCGGCTGCTACGACTTTTTAGGGGTAAGGAAAAGCGGTCATATATACTTGTAACGGTTGTAGTATCTGTTTTGTTTTATACACAATTCCGTGTTTTTGAATGGATTGAAATTTAAAACAAGCCAGCAGAGTCTGCGGGACAATTCTACCTGACAGATTTTGTGAACGCCCTGCAGCTTCCTCGGTGAAAAAGCATTATTTCACCCATCTGAAAATAATTTATCTGTTTTAATTTTAACAAGTTTAATTTTAGAAAATTATTATGAAAAAAAATAGTTAGAATTTGACGTTTTTGGTCAAACTGTATTGTACTCTCTCCGTCCCTAAAATATTGCTACAGTTCGACGTTTTTGGTCAAACTGTAGCACTCTTTGACCCAAAATTATGAAATAAGTATATTTATTTATGATGTAAATTTAGTAAAATTAAATTTATTTTAATACTAGTCTATAAATTTGAAATATTAAATTTTTATAATATTTAATTATTTTAAATTATACTTCATTCGTGGTCAAAATAGTTCACAGTTAGACCAAAAAATGTTAAACTGTGCTAATCTTTTATTGACGAAGGAAATACAACTTTTAATGTAGTAAGTAAATATATTTTTGCCAAAAATTTGTAGAACCAAAAATTGGAAAATAAATGTGGAAAATTGGTCAAAACCTAATACTCCTATATGGTACTTCTCTTAAATGAGAGGTTGGCATATTTAAAAGATGAAATATATAGTGTAAGAGGTTGACATGCATGTATAGGGATAGTGGAGATAGATATTATCCCGTACATTGTGAATTTCTTAAGATTTGAAAAAATATTCCGGAAGGAAGGGAGGCGATTAGCATTAAATAAAATTAGATGGAGGGGCCGGGCTATAGCCTATAGGTGGTTGAAGAAGGGTGCCAATTTCAAAGTGAATAATAAATACTAGGTTGAGTAGTTGGATTTGTTGCTTGATTTATGGATCCGTTTTCCAAAGCTAAGCCATTGCTTGGATCATAAATGAAAATGGAGGAAAGAAAATGAAGAGAAAATTAGGAAATAAATTTATTGGTTGGACAAATTAAATATGAAGAGTGATGAAAAAGAATTTCAGCAGATGATCTGACTCAAGAAGGCAGATCGAATTAACGAATGAGAAAATGCAATAAGAAAGCACAGAGCTCATCAAGAACACAAAGAATAATGCAACTAGCTAGACGTACTGAGCTTGGGGAATATAATGGGGGCTCGCTTCTACTTAAAGGTGCAATGTAACATTCGAATCATATATGGGAAGTGACAAACATAATAGTTCAAGATTTTTCTCCGCCCTTGACTATGAACCATGTGATCCCGCCTCTTCAGCGATTGGATGCGGTCAATCACAGAAGAACGATTCCACTTCCCAATCATGCGATTGGGCCAGGCTCATAGACTATATGATCAGCCTTGTGTGTTGGGGCTTTGAAAAGTTTCTGGATTGTAAGAATGTTGGGCTTGTTTCCCTTCTTTAAGTTATATGGGTGTTATGTCAAAAATATCTTTTGGCAAAAATATGAAAGATGCATAAAGTATCTTTTTTTTCTATAGAAAATTATCATTTTTAAATTTTTGATTTTTTTATGGTTAAAATCTTACTCCGTATTTTATTTAATTAAAAATTCTGATATATACTCCTTCTGTCTCAAAATAGATTACAATCTTTTTTTCTCTCTTCTCGATAATTTTTGTTTATTTGTATTTTTTGATTAAATATTTGATAAAATAAAATATTCTTGTCACATCTCGTTTTGTAGAACTTTTACCATAAATTTTTAAGATGTAATTTTTATTTTTTTAATATACCAATTTATAAATAAAATAATTTCAAAGACAATTTCATGGGTTAAAGTTCGTTCCAATATGCAACCACAATAAAATAAAATAAGAATATAACGCATGTAATTAATCAAAGTCAATTTTGAAGTTTGAACGATCACTAAGCACTCAATTAATTATTTCACAAACAACTTATCATTAAGGGACGACGTAGAAGCACCATGCGACATAAGCACCGAGCAAGAAGTTACTCCGTATAAGTTAAGGGTAATAAAGCATTATTATATGAATCAAAATTTTCCGGCAATGAGATGGTTAGCCAGGGCCAAAACAATGCTGCAAACGTATCGAGCCTTTCCGGCCAGCTCCTTGAAATCAAACGGCTCGCCGTTTGGCGGCGTAAAAAGCTTGTCGCAAGTGTCAATCTCCTGCACAGCATTCGCCGCAAGAGAATGCACCGTTCGGTAACCGCCGCCGCCGCCGCCGGATTTCAGCGCTGTTCCGATGTCGATCAGATCGTTGACGGCTTTCGTGTACGCCAGCCCGCACTTGTTGAAGGAATTGTGCAACTCGTGGTTCTTCAGCATCGTGTCTATTTCTCGGACGTGAACCTCGTCGTACACCAGGCGCACGTACGTCACGCTGGACTCGACCGTTTTTTGGGCCAGGCCGAGAAGGGTCGTGCCGGGTGTATTAAATGGCTTCAGGAAATCTGAACAGAATTTCTGGTTCGGTGTCTCGGAGCAGATGGTGCTGACCAGATCGGCGGCTTTCACATTTGCCGGGATGCAAAGACAAATGGTGAAGAGAAACATGTGATATGATGAAGAAACCGTTTTTTATTGTGACCTTTTTTTTATTTGGGACTTGATAATTAATCTCAGGGTGATATGTACTACGGAGTACTTTTTGCGATACTTCTTAGGACTATATTTAGCCTAATTTATATATACACATAGTTATCTAGAGATGGGTAGGGTTGTAAATGGATAACCGAAAATTCGTTTACCGTCCGCATCCGCATCCGTTTATATGGAAAATATCCGCATCCGTTAAAAGCGGTTATTATCCGTATTCGATTAAGGATATCCGATTGCTAATCGGATACGGATTTGATAATCACACATCCGATCCGTTTATAATCCGCTCCGCATTGACATCCGTTTAAATAACTGTTTATCCGTATATCTGATCCGTTATATATAGTTTTTCCTTATTTTTTATTTTTATATTTTGTTTCTTTATTGATATCTCAAAGTATAAGATATTTTTATATGTAAAATATATGTGTAGACACATAAAAATGTGTAGACATATAAAAAATGTGTGTATATATCTACTGTGTATATCTTTTTATGATATGAAATCATTGTAGAATATCATAAACTATAAACAAATAAGAAAATAATTATCCCATAAAAAATATAGTTGATTTAATAATATTTTGATTTAGTTTAATTGAAAATTAAAGTATTGTTTGTCTTGTTTTAAAAAATTGGAAATGGATACGGATATATCTGATATCCGACCGATATCCGACGGATGCGAATACGGTTTTGATTTTCAGTATCCGTCAAGATCCGTATCCGAATTCGATATCCGACAAAAATAAACGGATACAGATTTGGTAAAGGCACATCCGATCCGATTAAAATCCGTTTACACTCCTAGAGATGGGAATCATGAGATGTGTAACTGGGAGAATATATGCGTTTTAATCCATTTTTACTGAATTGTGCAATTATGAGAAACATATCTTGGCAATTAATTTTACTTAATTACTGATTCAATTTTATTTATTGACCACACAATACGATTCAAAAGAATGCATTCAATATTTAAAAAATGAAGTAACAACATAGGAAAAAGTTATAATTAATTGGGAAATTTATCTAAATAGTACTAAAACATACGGAGTAATAACTTTTCCAATGTAATATCTCTATTTCTCAATTTCGTACTATGGAGTATTATTTAATGTCCACTGGTCATTGTTCAAGTAAATGTCCACTGTCACTGGACATTGTTCAAACTTCAAACTAAATGTTCATCATCACCGAATATTGTTCCCGTCATTCAAATACTATTTAGAAAATTAAAAAGTTTAAGTGCTACATTAAGCAATGACGTATGTTATAGTGCTATTTAGTACTGATTTCATGAATTAATTACTCGATATATCTTTACTAATACTCCGTAATAGGTTAAATACATTCGCGTGAACTTAAAAACGTACTCCGGGGTATAAAGAGAACTGAGTATGTACATTCCGTCTAAGTACATGTTGCTACTTACCGAGTAATTTAAACAATTTAATGCTTCAAAAAAAAACTGCAGTACTTAAGAAATGGAAGTAACTATTTCGCATTCAATTCACAATAAAAAAACTCGTTCAAAATCTAATACCTAGTGACACCTCATAAATTCTTTTTTGAAATACTCCGTGACTAAATAGAATATAATGTTGACATTGAAATTAAATATTGATGCATTTAGACAATAACACATTAATACGAGACGTGAGCCATCTATCATGGATCGCTCTATTTGGGTGAGAGTAGACGTTATTGACTCATTGCATCCATCACATGCATCTCATCAACATTGACAAAGGAGTTACATTGCAAACTTCTAATAATAAGTTTAATAAAAAGAACAAATTAATTAATTGTAATTGGACTGCTTGTTCTTCGCCTTGAGTTGAGCCTCAGCCGCAGCGACTTTGACAATGGTGGAAGCTTTGATGGTGGTTTTAGGATTGAGAGCCTTCCTCAGCTTAAACACGGCACACGCGGTCCCAAACGCGTGCCCTGCCGCGTCAAACCCTTCTCTTGTCACCTCCGCCGCTTTCTCCCCGTGCCTCTGGGAAACAAGACCGGTTGCGACAGAGGATGTTGTGGACATGACATTCTTTCCGGCCACTTCTATGGCATCGCACACCTTGTCTGTTTTGTTCATCAATCTCAATGTCAAGATCAAGAATTACTAAGAGCGGGAAAATGCTACTGCTGCTGCAAATATAACAGACTACCACTAGTACTCGTGATAGAATTTAGGATGGGGTAGTGATTACTGGATTGGGCAATAAGACACTTGGGCCGAACCACATTAAAAGATTGAATCCAATCGATTACTTAGTTCAACTCTAGAGCTTATATACCGATTATTTTACTCTTGGATTTCCGATGTGGGATGTACTCTAACACTCCCCCTCAAGTGGACAACCGGGCCATTTTGAATCTAACCGGTTGACCACTTGCAGATGAACTCCTATTCCCTTGGCTCTTTTTTTTTTTGAGCGCCAACACCTAAAGGAGCACGAGCCGCTGGGTATGGACTTCCAGACGAGCAATCGTGTTAAACATGCCACAGGCCGTTGGGTACAACCTCCATACGGACAACTGGGCTAAAGACTAACGGGCCGCTAGGAATGAACGTCTAGACGGACACCTTGACAAACGAGGTGGGCTAAAACTGGCTCTGATACCATGATAGAATTTGGGATGGGTATGGACAACTGGATTGGGCAATAAGACACTTGGGTTGAACCACATTAAAAGATNATGGACTTCCAGACGAGCAATCGTGTTAAACATGCCACAGGCCGTTGGGTACAACCTCCATACGGACAACTGGGCTAAAGACTAACGGGCCGCTAGGAATGAACGTCTAGACGGACACCTTGACAAACGAGGTGGGCTAAAACTGGCTCTGATACCATGATAGAATTTGGGATGGGTATGGACAACTGGATTGGGCAATAAGACACTTGGGTTGAACCACATTAAAAGATTGAATCCAATCGATTAGTTAGTTCAACTCTAGAGCTTATATACCAATTATTTTACTCTTGAATTTTCCAATGTGGGATGTACTCTTAACACTCCCCTTCAAGTGGACAACCGGGCCATTTTGAATCTAACCGGTTGACCACTTGCAAATGAACTCCCATTCCTTGACTTTTTTTTTGAGTGTCAACACCTAAAGTACCACGAGCCGCTGGGTATGGACTTCCAGACGTGCAATCGGGTTAAACGGGCCACAGGCCGTTGGGTACATACTCCATACGGACAACTGGGCTAAAGACAAACGGGCTGCTAGGAATGAACGTCTAGACGGACACCTTGACAAACGAGGTGGGCTAAAACTGGCTCCGATACCATGATAAAGTTTAGGATGGGGTAGTGATTACTGGATTGGGCAATAAGACACTTGGGCCGAACCACATTAAAAGATTGAATCCAATCGATTACTTAGTTCAACTCTAGAGCTTATATACCGATTATTTTACTCTTTGATTTCCGATGTGGGGATGTACTCTAACAACTCGTAATATAAAGGGACTTACTAAAGCCATCCAATGAGGCGAGAACGATTTCCACGGGAAGAAGGCTGAAGAACTTTTGGCCAGCTTTAGAGCTTGCAATGGAGCTGGTGAAGAGGGTGGACACCTTTACCACCCCGGCAAGTATACCAGTTGCCACCTTCTCTGACATCTCTGTCATCTTCTTCACCCTGTTTACCACAACCACTCGTAACAGATTTTAGGCTTGCTATATATAACGTACTTTGGCTAATATACACCAAGAAAATTGAATTAGATTGAATCGGTTAGCTATTTCCGCTTAAAATCATTCAGTCCATGTGATTCTTTTTATGATGGATGAAAACTAAATACTGAAATATCAAATTTAGTCAAATAGGTCAATTCAAAATCTGTCAAGCATACCAAGTGTTTGAATTAAATTGTGATTATTATTTCAATTTAAAATCTTACACCTTCCTACAAAACATTTTTTCTTCCAAATTTATGTGTTCCCGAAAAAAAAATCTTTGAGAAGTTAAAGTCATCATCATGAGCACCCACCCTAGTGAGAAATTTGCAAAAGGAGCTACTGAAAATTCACAATTCTTTTCGCTGATTAAAGCGCAAAGTATTTATCAATTACATCTAATAATAAAATACGAGTAGATCAGAATGAGTTGTAGTCTTTTGCAAATAAAAATGATTGTAAATTAAATAATAAATTAAAAAAGGATTGTGAATCAATCCTACTTGGCATTCCAAATTCCAAGTTTGCCAATCAATGTAAAAAGTGTGTATGGTCTTGGAATGTAAGAACTTTGAACTAAAGCTTTCTATTTCTGTCTTTTGAAATCATTTACCTTTTCATCCTTTTCAAGGCGGTTGGACTGATCTGGGTTGCTGCGCCGCCCTTTCCGGCCATCCTCTTGGCGAGAACCTCGTGCCCCCACTTCAATCGATCCACCGCAACATCCCCGCACCACAATATTCCCCTCACCAGATGACCCGACCCGGCCGCGATCATTCTCGCGACCCTTCCGCTGTAGTCCTCCACGTTGGGAGCCAGAGTGGTCCAGTACGCCGCCGCACTCCTCTCCGCCTCCTCCTTCTTCTCCCTCCTCTCCATCTCCGCCGGAGACACCTCCCTCGCCGCCTCTCCCCAGCCCACCGCCGGCGACTTCTCCGCCCTGAACGCGCTGTACTTCTCCAACACCCGGTCCAGATCTCTCAGCTTCCCCTCCTGCCCCTTGGCGGCAACGGTCAGGCCGTAATTGAGCATGTTCTCCGAGGAATCGATCCTGATCTCCCTCTCGTCGTCATCGGATGCGGGTCCCGCGCACGCCGGAGTCCGGAGGGTGAAGAAGTAGTGGGAGTCGTCCAGCTTCACGGTGGCCTCGTCTTTGGCCAGGGGCCACTGAATGTCGCGGCCGACGCGGGCAAGAACGGCGACGACGTTGTTGTCCTGTTTGAGGCGGACGATGGTGAACTCGCCGGAGGCAAGCTCGACGCTCCGGTCTGAGTCGATCAAGTGAACCATGGAGCCGGGGATCCGGATTATAACTTCCTCGGATGATTCAAAACCGGAATTGGAGCCCGACATGTTTGGGGATG